GTATATGTTAAATGATGAATGGACAATATCCATTAAAAATATGTAACAACGGAAAATATAATTATCCTAAATCGTAGAAAATATTTTTTTTAAAGGAACAATATGTACCTTTTGTAAATAAATCATATCTGGACACGTCAAAAAAAAAAAAAAAATCATATCTAGACTTCTTCGAATCAAAAAGTAGAAATGGTTTCTTCGTCAAAAGAATGGTGGACCGGTTATTGAAGAGTCATCTTCAACTATTCCAATCCTAAATATTTTGGAATCAAAGGCAGTATTTGAAGTAAGGAAATGTAAAAACACAAATTTCAAAACCGTGCAACCGATCAAGATCAAGACACTTGAACCCACTTTTACGTTTCAAAGATCATCAAAAACATTCTAATGCGAGCTAATTAAGAATGTTATACTTCACTCCTCTAGATATGTAATGTCATGGGGTTATTATACTCCCTCCGTCTTAAAATGTAAGTTGTTTTGTAGGTTTTTTTTGTTTTAAAATGTAAGTTGTTTTAATAATTCTAGATACTTTTTAACTTTATTGAATATTGTGTGACCACTAATACTTTGCAGTCTTTTGTGTGATTGGTCAAATTATTTTTATTAAATATATTAAATGATACATTTTAGTAGAAAAATAGTTTCTTAATATTCGCGTTTTTAGCTACACCAACTTACATTTTGAAACAAAGAGAGTAATAAATTTGTACGATTAATTTTCTATTAATGCAAAATCCAGGTTGTCGACAAAATTAAAAAAAAAAAGACTTAATCATAATTATATATAGTATACTGATCATGTGTATAATGATAATAATGTCATCCTCTTTTGTTTTCCTTTTCCCCTTCACGACAAGGAAAAATATAAAACTGAAGGCAAATAATGAAGGAGTAGAAATAATGGAACACGTGCGGTAACATAATGCAGTAGAGCCAATGTGTCGACAAGCCAAACTGGAGCCTTGCAACCACCACATTTAAATCTAAAGCTAAATCTTTGTTTAGTGCTAATCGCTTAGCACGCCCGTACAATTATTAAACCTACTTTCATCTATCCGATTAATTATTTCTTATTGTATACTTCGTATACTAAGCAATGCCTAACTCACCTTAAACGTAGCGACTAGTTTTATTTTTATTAGTTTATAGTATAATTCTTTTCTTTATATGATAGATTATTGCGTATAATGGAGTGGACATTTCTGTATATGCAATTGAGACGTTGGAATAATGATGCTTCAATTTTTTTTAAACTTAATTTGAACATCTAAAATTAGAATAACCTTTTATTAAATGCGAAGATTTTAACTTGTTTTTCAACATAGTGAATATTTTTGTCTACTAATTCTGAACTTGAATCTCAATTTTGTATCACATATCCGTCCGGATTTATTGGTATATTAATACCATATGAAAACTCATAAACTCCTATGTTAAAAAAACAATTAGAAATAGTATGATCAAGGTTTGTGTGTCTGTAGATATACTAGATTCTTTTATCCTTAAAACTCAGTTATATACACTAGATATGATGATGACCAAAATCCTAGCGTACTTGTTATTAAGAATTAAAAAAAACTCCTAACATATCTAATTTTATATAAAACATTTGTTTCATTGTATATTTTTTGACAAAAAGAAAAAAATGTTCCAATTCATAAACAATAATTTATTGTGATATTCAAGATATCTGGTTATGACATTTTTATTTCATATTCTTCGATATATATAATACTAATAAAAAACAGTAGGATGAAAAAACAAAGTACACGATTTTTGTTTTTCATTTAAAAAGCCTTTTTCATCTACTTGATCAAACTTTAATATCTTCCCCATATGCCAAATTTCATAGTATTTTAGTTTTTTCATGCCAAAAATGTTTTCTAGATTCTCTAATCTTAATTTTAATAATTTTTATATCAAAATCCTATATGACATGAAAACTCAAAAATAGGCTTTATATTCTCCGATTTTTTTATTGTCTTTTATGTTTCTATCCCGTTATGATTGTGTTCTTCCATCGTAGAAGTTTATTGTATGTTTTTTTCTTTGATTACAATTAACACAGTTATGCAGAATTTTAGCAATGATAGAGTTTTTTCTCTAAATCTAAATCAATTCTTTCTTATAGAATAATTTTGTTTGAACCTGTCAGAGGTAGACATAAATCGATGATAAGTGTTATTGTAGTGCAACACTTATCAACTGGAAGTTTAAAAAAAAAAGAAAACACTTATCAACTGGAAGAACGTTTTCAGTTTGAAAGAATATAGTTATCGAAATCGAATTTTTACTACTCTTGTAAGATTTTTGTAAGGTACATGAAATTTAACCTCAGAAAGAAGAAAATGTGTGACATAATATTTTGTTAGAGATATGATCAGCAGTGAAACAAGCATTGTCATCATTCCCATCTCCAATGAACAAACTCTAACGGTATTTTATTTTCTGTTTGCTTTGTTTTCCGTAAAACGATTATCTATTTTCACTGATTTCAAGATTATAAAAAAAAAACGAGACGAGGATAATAACATAAATGATATCACATTCTCTAGAAGAGATGCAATTGCCAAATTCATTGCTGCTTGTACTTGAGAGATAAGTAATTTTCTATGTTTAAAAATACACTTCATCATCATTATATTTTAGTGTAAAACTAGAAATCTAGTAAGATAATTACTTTATGAAAACTTTCATAATCACCAAGCAACAAATTCGACTTTTTCTGCAAAATTATTGTTTAATAATAGTATATTTAGTTTTGTTACGATGGTTATGTGTTTTATCTCAATTTTTACCTCTAAAATTTTGTGTTTGTCGTTT